TCACGCTGGCGCGACATCGCTCGAACTCGCAGCCGCGGCGCCCGCCGCCTCGCCCTCGCCTACCATGCGCGAGAGCTCCTCATCGAGGGTCATGCGCTTCTGCTTCGGCGTCGGCGTGCTCAGGTCAATGAGCCCCTGGGGCTTCTTGAAGTGGAAGCGGAAAACCCCTGGCCCCCTCTTGATCGGCGCGGCAGGCGCGGGGGGCGCGGCCGCGGCGGGCACGTCGGAGGGGCCGTCGTCGCCGCCCATCCCGCCGCCGAAACCAAAGACGTCTGACTCGCCACCTGCGCCGGCGGCGCCGCCCATCCCGCCGCCGAGACCAAGGTCGTCGTCATCGTCATCTGGGTTGACTGGGGGAGCGGGCGCGGGGGCCACGGCCGCGCCGGCGGCGGCGGAGGCGTCGGCGCCGACGCCCACGTCACACCCACCTCAGGGAAGTTGCACCTCGGGGGCGTGCCCTGGTTGAAGAGCGCGGGGCCGCGGATCGCATTCGAGCGCCCGGCGTCGTCGCCCCGAGCAAGCCTCTTCATGGCGGCCACGGCCCACTTCATGTGCATGTCGTAGTCGGGCGGTGTGAAAGTCTGATCCTTCCTGGAACGCTGCAGGATAGGTGTGGTCTCGGGCGCGAAGAGGTCTGGCTTCTCGGGCGCTGGCCACGGGAAGCGGGAAACTGGATCCTTAGTCGTTGACGCCAGCCACAGGCACATCCACCCCTTAGTGAGCAGCGCGACGTTGGACCTCGCCACGTACGCCTCCACGTCCGCCATGTCGTAGACGCTCTGCTTATCGCCCACGAAGCTGTAATCGATGATTTTGAAAAGTCGTCGAATTTGATATCTTACTTGCCTCTGCGGATGGAACGCACCTTCTTCTCGAACTTCTCATCGCGCGAATTGACGCAGATCTGGCGGGGCCGGCGCTGCTCGAACGAGGCGCCGCCCCACCTATGCAGCGCGCGGAAAACGACGCGCATCAAAACACACATGGAAAAAATGGCTTGCCGCCGCATGGCGTTTCATTGTTTGTCGATGGCGCGCGTTGTACGCGCCCTGCGGCCTCGCCCACAACAGCGCGTCTTCCTCGGCGGGGTCGAGGAAGGCCTTGATCGCATCGGAGGCCCACTTCGGGGGGGCGGTGTCGTCCACGATAGCGGGCTTGAACACTGTTCCAGGTTCGAGCCGCAAGAAATCGATTTTCTTTGTCGCGGCGACGCTCGGGCGGAGGTCGGCGCGGCCGCATTCATCGATCTGGCAGGCGGAGATGGCGAGGCCGACGGTTTTCGACGCTGTGGATTTGCCGACCCTGGTCTTGCCAATCCGCATGGCCCCGTGCACGTCGTGGCTCTTGAGAATGGGGGCCACGACGTTGTCGAACACGAGCGGGTGGAAGCGCTCGAGCGTGGCCGCCAAAGGCTCGAGCGCCATTGCGCCAACACTACCTGACGCGCACTTGCGGAGCGACTCCTTTACATCGGCCGCCTGCCAGCCGAAGGTCGGCGAGCGCTCGTCGTTTATCTTTTCGTCGGTCCACTCCACGAACTGATTGCGGTTGTCTGCCCTCGGGCCGAACTCCTCTATGAACCGGTAGCCAGCTCTTCGCCTTCCCTCGTCGTAACCGCCACCGCCGACGGCTGCGACCACGGACGGCTGAACCCAGCGGCGGATCTGACCCCGCCCAGCCTGTCCATCACGCAGAAGAAGAGCTCGAGTGGCGTCTTAATGTCGGCCGAGCTCCCCCAGTGGACAGCGAGCGCCCTGCCCTCCACGAAGACCTCCTCGGCGATGTCGGCCCGAACCTTGGCGTCGAACCTGGCGCGCTTCAGCGCGCGCTGCTCGCCGTTCGCGCCCTTCGGCAAGATGCGGGGCTGCGTGGTGAACGCGATTTCACCGGGGCCCTTGTCAGGTTTAAACGGGGCTGGCAACGCCATGCGGTTGCCTGCGCACATGGCGCCATACACGCCACGCGGTTGCCGGCGCCACCCCCCAGCGCCACCCAATCCACCAAATGCTTCAGACTCGCGACGCTGTCCGCGCATTGGAGCGGCACGTCGCGGAGGGCGAACGCAGCGGGAGGGTCTGATTGGAAACGCCCGGGCTCGTCGGGCTTCTTGCAGGACTGCACCGCCGCCGCGCGCAGCCACGCGTTCTTGATATGATCAGTAGCGGAGGCCCCGCCGCCGACGACCCCCCCCCCCCCCCCCCATTGATTCGACGCCGCGAGCTGCCAGCCTCGCCACGGCAGAGAGCGGGCGCAAACGGAAGCATGAACCGAAAGCCCGGCGGCGGGGGGCAACGCGACGGCCGTCGCACGAACCTGAAACGCAGCGGAACGGCGCCCCCCCCCCCTGCGGCCGCAGCCGCGACTGCCGCGCACGACGCGCGCGCGCCCCCCCCCCCCCGCCCCCCCCCCCCACGCCCCTCGTTTCTTAATGGAGGCGAAGCCGTGCGCGTGCAGGTTTCATAAACTTAGCGGGGCAGCATTAGCCGATTGCTGCACCCCGCTGTGGAATGGCACCCCTCTCAGCGGCATCGAGCCGCACTAACGAATGGCGCATACACACCGCAATCCGAATAGAACGCCAGCCATCACAAGTGCTCTTGCGCTGTTGCAGATCAGAACGTGGACCCCATCAAGTCGCACAGCATCTCGCCCGTGGCCGACCACGGGTCGGGTCCGCGACGCCAGTACTCCCACTGTGCGGAGCGGACGCGCTCGGCAATCGCCCCACTGCGCGGCGTGTAAGTGCGGGGGCCAATGTGGTGCTCGACGTGATTCCACGCCCTGTCGATGATCTGCGCGCCCGCTTTTCACCTTCAGCACCGCGCCGCTCGGGAGCTTGTGCTTCACGATTTCGGAACACACGGGCTTGACCCACAACCACGTCCCCCCGCGCTTCACGCGCTTCTTGCAGTGCCTGACAGAGTCGTGGAACACCCCAGGAGCCTTCATCCTGTAGCTCCTGGCACCGTCCAAGTGGAGAATCACCTTGCGATCCTTGAGGCGGCCCAAAAAGAAGGGCTTACACTCGGTCTTCTTGATGGCGCCTGGGCCAGGCGCCTTCTTCGTCGCGCGGTCCGACTCAGTTCTGAGCAGCACCAGGGTCTCTAGCTTGCCCCGCTGCACAACGACTGCCCACTTCTCACACTCCTTCATCTCCTTGTCATCCGTGATCGCAGAAGCGAAGACGGACTCGTCGGCCTCGACGTCCACCCACGTCTTGCCGTCGCCGTGCACGATGTCCTTCTCGTACGTTATCCACGTACTGCTCGCGGGCAAGGTCCAGGTTGCGGGTCGTAGCCTCGGTCATCTTGTAGTTGGTGCAGTAGTGCTGGTGGACCTGCGCGGTCGTCATCCCCGTGAGAAATGCCGAACATGACCCTGCATTTGTCCTTCAACGACGACGTCTCCTTTCCCCAGCCACCTGCGAAAATGGGGCGACAGTGGGTGGGGCGCACCTGCCTGCCGCAGTCCCCCCCGTCGCTGCACGGCCGCGCACAGCCCGAACCGCCCCCACACACACACACACACACACACACACACACACACACACACACACACACACACACACACCACTCCCTGGCGCACCGTTTGCCGAGGGTGCACCTCCCGCAAAATGGGCAGGTCAGCACTGACCAATCGAGGAGGAACCCGTCCTTGATCAGGAGGTCCACGAGCTCGCTCTCGTTCCCCATGTTGAAAGAGTCGACGTTGCGACACCACGCGCTGCGCTCCTTCCGTGTCTTCTCGGCGCCATGAACGGTGCGAACGCAGGAAACCGTGCCTTTCTCCTTCCCCCATCTTGCCCTGCACGCGGGCCTTCCCCCTTTTGGGCTCTGGGAAGAGTTTGAACGCGGCCGCGGGGCGCTCGGCGATGGCGCCCTTCCTTGCGCCGCGAACGGCGGCGGCGGGGCGCTTCGCCGCGCGGGCAGCGGAAGCGGCAGGGCGCTTCATAGCACAGGGGTGAACACAAATTTGAACCCTATATTGAGCCAAAACAGCAGCGAGGACACTATCTCTTGCTTGCATTGGTGATGATGTTTCCTGAGTTGCCCTGCTGCCCTCTCCCTGGGCGTCTTCCTGGGCCTCCTCCCAGGCCCTCTCGTGGGTCTCTCGAGCGCGTTTCTGGCGTCGCCCCCCGTTGCCCCCCCGCGCCCCCGGCGTTTCACGACGACGATGACGATTGTTTCACCAGGCTCCCGCGCGCGGCCGCAGCGCGGGCAAGCTCGCCTAAGACGCGCGTTCCCCCTGTCCTGCCGAGCCGCCGCCGCAGCTCAGGAGCCGTTCAGCGCGGCCGCCGCCTTGCTGAGCTCGAGCTTCAAGCGCTCGCTGGCCTGTCGAAGGCGCAGCGCGTCCTCCTCTAGCTGCTCGTTCTCCTTGCGCAGGAGCTGGTTCTCCAACTTCAGCTCGTCCAGGAGGCTGTGCTCGCTCAGCTGGTATTCCTGCTGCTCCTGGTCCGCGTCGTTGTTCGGGTCGGAGTCGTCGCTGCTCTCGTCCTTGGCGCTGCTCGAGTCGGAGTCGTCGGGGGGGCCCTCGTCGTCGCCCGAGGCCGCGGCGGGCGCAGCCGGCGCTGGCGGCGCAGGGAGCGCAAGCAACGGTGGCTGCGCTGCTGGCCCAGCAGGCGGGGCAGGCAAGGCCAGGGCCCCGAGCGACGGCTGCGGGCCGCGGCGCTCCTGCTTCTTCCACCGCAAAGCACCGCGCAGCCTCTCCCAGGCCTCGGCGGACCACCCCCCTCTGGTCCCAGTCCGCAAGAAGAGGGCCCGCTGCAAGTTGGCAATGCCTACGTTGAGGTCTTGCTTGGTGAAAGGCACGCGGGACGCATGCAGATGAATGTCCCCCGTCTGGATGCGGCCTATGATATCCTCGTGTGTGGGGGGGCTCTGCTGTGGGAGGGCGCTCAACGAACTGGAGATCCAGCCGAGCAACACCCGCAACGCCGACATGCTTCACACCACCCGTGATCGAAAACATCCTGTGGACAGGGATGGTGTGCAGCGATCTCCGAGGAAAAGCTTTTGAGCCAGTTTACCTACGGACCTGATATATTATCCCTCTCTTGTGTTCTCTCTCTCTCTCTCTCTCTCTCCTTCTTCCTCAACCGCAAACTCCAAAGTAAAAAAATAAACTGTGATGGTGGTTATATTGGGTCGCGTTCGGAACCAAAAGGCGGATAATGGGAGGGAGGGGGAGGGGTGGGTAGATGATGGGGTGGGAGGGATATGAAGAGAGGAAGGGGATGAGAGAGGGGACAGGATGGATAGAGGGAGGAGGAGGAGGAGAGAGCGGACAGGATGGATAGAGGGAGCCATGAGGGAGAGAGGGGTGAGGAGAGAGGAGGACATCGAAGGGACATCGCATGTGCGATCCCCCCATGGCTCCCTCATGGCTCCCTCGTAAGGAGGAGAAACAGGAAAAAAAGGAAGAATGATGATAATGAGAAGGATAATGAAAATAATGAGAATGATGAGAATGGGGAGAGGGAAGAGGAGGATAATGAGGAGGAGCAGTGGAAGGAGGAGAGAAGGCGAAATGTATGATCATAGGGGCGAGCATATATGTATATACGGATGTGTGTATGTGTATGTCTTGGTATATATCTATATATATATATATGTATACATCTATATATATGTGTGTGTCGTTATCTCTCTCTCTCTCTCTCTCTTCCTCTCTCTCTCTCTCGCCCTCTCCCTCTCTAAGTATATGCTGCTCTCTCTCTCTCTCTCTCTCTCTCTCTCTCTCTGTTTGTGTATACATCTACGCATGACCAGTGTGAATATATATATATATACATATATAAATATACAGGTGGGTGCACACTCATACCTACATTTCGAGAGATGCATATGTACATAACTATTTGTATCCCATCATGTGTATCCTCCCCCTCCGCCTCCCCAGGCTTGTTCCCCTTACCATCTCTCCCCCTCGCTCCCTTCGTTCCCTCCGACTCCCCTGTTCGTATCCCTCCCTCCCTCCCTCATGTTCTCCCTGTCTCTCTCTCTCTCTCTCTCTCTCTGTCGCTATATCTCTCTCTCTCTTGTTCTCTCTCTCTCTCTCTCTCTCTCCCCTCTCTCTCTCTCTCTCTCTCTCTCTCTTTCTCTCTCTCTCCCTCTCCCCTTCATTTTCTCAGTGTCCCTCTCTCTCTCTCTGTGTACATGCACGTGCATAAGACCTATATGTAAACATGTGTAGCATGTACAGCTATACATACGTACATGTGTATCCTATGTTTCGATACCCCTGTCCCTCTCTCTCTCTCTCCCCCCCCTTTTATTTCTATAGATGCGTGTACGTGAACATAAATACAAATATATATATATATATATATATATGCACAGCTGTGTACACATACACATATACATCTACACACATTGACCTAGACACGCAGCCCCCCTGGGGGAGGGGCGCAAGGCTGTGAAAGATCCTGCTGGACTGCTATCATGTGGTATTTCTGGTGTGTTATATTTGTTTGTCTCTTGTCTCTCCAGCCATGTGTCCATGATACTGTCTACGCAGGGGGGGGGGGGGCAGCGTGAAATAAACACCTGGGGGGGGCTCAAATTCTTGGCTGTTAGAAGGCTCCCGAAGATTCCCACATGGACGCCACCGCATGGCCAGAAAGGCCCAGGAGGTCTTGAAGACGGCACCAGGAGGCTCCGAAGAGAGCCCCGAGAGCCCAAGGCGGCCCAGGAGGGCCCCAAGACGCCCTAAGAGGGTCTCGAGACGACCAAAGAGGCCCTCAAGGAGCCACAAGAGGGCCCCAAGAGGACTGCCAGACGCCAAAAACACCTTCAAGAAGCCACCCAGCGCACGAGGCGGCCACGAGACGGCCATGGGTGGCGACGCGGCGTAACCTCGGAGGACCCCCCAAGTGGGCGGCAAAGAGGCGGCCACGATGCGGCCACGGGCGGCGACGCGGCGAAACCTCGGCGGACCCACCGAATTCCTTAGCGGCACAAGTAGGAACCCCTGAGTGCAAGCAGCGCTTGGGGAATAAAATAATGCCCTATTTCTCTCTCGCGTTCTCTCTGCAACTGTATATATATATATAAATATATATATAAATATATATATATGCATATATATGTGTATAACTATATAAATGTATATACACTAATAGGTGTGTATCCATATATAAATATATATGTGTATACATAGACGTACCCACATGTATATACATATACTCATGCATACACATATCGATATACGAGTATGTTTTCAACTTGCGTACATATATATATATATAGAGAGAGAGAGAGAGAGAGAGAGAGAGAGAGAGAGAGAAAGATCCACCGGCCCCTTCCAGGGGCGCAAGGCTGCGAAGGTGTGTGCGGCCTGCTGCCATGTATTATGCGTTGTGATGTGTTGTTTGGCATTTTCTCTCTCCGGTCATGTTGCCTGCCTCATGCTTGATGTCTGCTAGGAGGCCCCGCCGCGCCACCAGACAGCCAACGGGAGGGGGTGAACCTCAAATCCTGGCTGCTCCGGGCCGCCCCAGGATTCTCATGGTGACGCGACCACGCGGCCAGAACGGCCCAAGAGGCCTCCAAGATTGCCCGAAGAGGCTCCCAAGAGAGCCTCAGGAGGCCAAGACGGCCCAAGATGGCCCCAAGATGTCCCATGATAGCCCCAAGACGGCCCAAGATGCTCCCAAGACGGCCCAAGAGGCCTCCAAGAGGCCTCCTAAGTGGGCCCCACGAAGCAAAAATCAATGATTTTCCTTACGTGTATGCGGGTTTTGGGCCTTCTCGCCTTTTCGGCTTTCCGACGCTCCGAGACGGACCAAGAAGTTCCCAAGATCGCCCCACGACGGCCCTGTAAACCCCTATGACGGCCCAAGAGGCCCGCATGATGGCCCCAAGACGGCCGAAGAGGGCCACAAGACGGTCCAAGAGGCGCCCCAGACGGCGCAAAAGGGCCCTAAGACTGTCCAAAGAGAGGCCCAAGAGGGAGTCCGAGAACCGAAAACTCTACCTTTCCGCCCCGAGAGGGCCCCAGCAGGCCCCAAGAAGGTCCCAAGAGGCCCCAAGAGGCCCCCAAGAGGCCCCAAGGAGACCTCCAAGAGATTCAACATATCGTTTCCAAGAGGCCCCAAAGATCCCCAAGAGGCCCCACGGAGACCCCCAAGAGGCCCCACGGAGACCCCCAAGAGGCCCCCAAGAGGCCCCAAGGCGACCCCCAAGAGGCCCCAAGGATACCCCCTCGCAGCCGCCCGCACTGGCAATAGGGGAGCCAGCGGCAGAGGGCGAAGCCCTTAAGATCTATATATATATATATATATGTATATATATATATGTATATGTGTGTGTGCACATACATACATACACCCATACATGCATGCATGCATGCATGCATGCATGCATGCATACATACATACATACATGCATACATACGTACATACATACATACATACATACATACATACACACATGCATACATGCATGCATGCATGCATACAAACGTACATACATACATACATACATACATACATACATACATACATACATGCATGCATACATGCATACATGCATGCATGCAAACGTACGTACATACATACATGCATACATACATGCATACATGCATGCATGCATACATGCATCCATGCATTCATCCATGCATGAATGCATGCATGCGTGCATGCATGCATGCAAACGTACATACATACATACATACATTAATGCATCCATGCATG